TTTCCCGGCAAGAATCGCTCGAGAACCCTAAACGGTTTATTGTTCTCCTCCAGCGCCAATATTGGCTTGTCATCGAAACCTTCCTGTCATAGCTGCTACAGTGTTTAGCGGCTTTTGCGTTTTTGGATGGCGGAGGATCCAATCGGCGATGGCAATGAGGCAAGTGATTATAGTTCGGAGGACGAAGGGACCGAGGATTACAGACGAGGAGGCTATCATGCCGTTCGAATGGGTGATACTTTCAAAAATGGGTGCTATGTGGTGCAAAGCAAGCTCGGGTGGGGTCATTTTTCTACTGTGTGGCTCGCTTGGGATACCCAGAGATCGGTACGTGGCCCTTACAAACTTTCTGAAAAAATTATGGGAAAAATAAATGATATTGAGCGTCAGCTGATTCTCGCTTTCTGGCCAGTTCGAAAATGGCAATCTGGGCGGTAAAGTTGAATGTTTAGGGCAGAATATTTTTCCAACCTGTTCATTCTCCCTTTTCCATGGATAGAACCTGTCTAATTAAACATCTAATCGTCGTTGTTTGTAGAAAATTTAGGATGGAATTTATGTTGCTGTTCATTTATATTGGATAAAGGCTTCTTGTTGTTGTTGTTGTTCATTATATTGGATATCATTTGGTTTCTCAACCTCATGTTAGGACACAGTCCATATGCACTTGTCATGTTTTGTTCTCAGAACCTAAATAACACAAGTACATGGTGTAAATTTATTTGGTGATCCTCTTAACGTTGGAAATTTTCTTTTATAGCGTTATGTAGCCCTAAAAATTCAAAAGAGTGCCCAGCACTACACTGAAGCTGCAATGGATGAAATATAAGATTCTCAAACAGATTGCTGAAGGGGACCTGGATGGCAAGAAATATGTCGTAAAGCTTTTGGATCACTTTAAGCATTCAGGGCCCAATGGCCAGCATGTGTGTATGGTTTTTGAATTCTTGGGTGATAATCTTCTGACCCTTATAAGTATAGTGATTACCGAGGGATTCCTATCTCAATGGTTAAAGAAATCTGTTTCCATTTTTGGTGGGACTGGATTACTTGCATCGTGAGCTATCTATAATACACACAGATCTGAAGCCAGAGAATGTCTTGCTTTTGTCAATGATAGATCCATCCAAAGATCCTAGAAAATCAGGCGCTCCACTTATCATTCGAACACCAAGGATAAGACCCTTTCAAAAAATGGGACCACAAAAGACATAATAGTTCAAATGGGGATCTGACCAGGAACCAGAAAAAGAAATTGCGGAAAAAAGCTAAAAAGGCTGCTCAAAGTTGTGTTGAGAAGGAGAGTCCCAAGGAAGGCGAGGAGGATTCTAAACCACCTGAGGGAGAAGATTGCAGTCATGATGTGAAACAGATTGTGGAATCTGCTGATGATAAACCCAATAGTCATCTAACTAAAGATGAATCAACGGAGGTTGTTGAAACCAAGGACGTCCCAAAAAGGCAGTCATGGTCACTGAGAGTTAGCCGTTCCATGAGAAAGAAGTTGCTTGCTGCTGTTGATCTTAAATGCAAGCTGGTTGATTTTGGAAATGCTTGTTGGACCTATAAACAATTCACGAATGATATTCAGACAAGGCAGTATAGGTGTCCTGAGGTTCTTCTTGGATGCAAATATTCAACTCCAGCTGATTTATGGTCCTTTGCTTGCATTTGCTTTGAGCTTTCCACAGGTGATGTTCTTTTTGATCCCCACAGTGGTGACAACTATTCAAGGGATGAGGTAATTCTTCCATTCAAATTGCACTCTTTTCCTCTCAGAACTGGTTTCCTATTGCCTTTCTCTGTTTCAGAATAGAATGCATGTTCCGTTGGTCCATTCACTTAACTCTTGCTTTATTGCCAATTTGCCGTATACTTTGTCACTGTTTCTTGTCATGCTCTTACAATTTCATAATGATAGTTCCAGGAAGTTTAATTCTGTTGCTTTCTTTCTTTTAACATTTTTCTCAACCATGAGCAAAGGTGGTGACTAAATCTTAAATTGTGTTTTTACTATTAAAAGGAAGCAAAAACCCATCTTTTAGATACAATTTCCTTTCATGGGCCATAGGCTGATTGGTTAAAATGTAGCTTCATTTATACAAATAGAAGTTTGAAAAGTATCTCCCTTAAGACTGTAGCATTGTTGATTGGACGATGAAAAATGTATTTTAGACAAGGGCCAATGATAGAATTAGAAGAAATGCGCAGTAATTGGTTGAAAACCCTTTATTAACTTGTACCTGTTGCTGATTTTTTTTTTTTTTGGCTGAAGTTTCAGCACTCAGTTCACCACTCTTAGTTTCACAAGTATTATCTTTGAGATTTAGATGCATGTCTGTTGAGTCTTTTTCTTTTATCTGCAGTATTTGTAGTATTACGTGTATGTGAAAAATAAAATTGAGAAGGTCTTCCTCTTAAAATGCCTTATACTGTTGAACTTTTTACGTAGGTATGTTTTTTTGATATCTGTAGTGCATGAAGACTAATTGTATAAAGAGTGGTTTCTATTCTAACTACAGATTGTAAATATCTTATAGTCGACTTTCTCTTCCGGAAGTTGAAATAAGGGCTTTTCTCTGAGTCATTAAAGCTACGCTAGCAGATTACTAGAGCACAACTCAAACCTGCCTTCAAATAAATTTGCCTGTTTAATTGGTATTTTGAAATCATAAACCAGCTAGACAAAGAACCAAGTGTGGTCTCTCTTTGTCTAAAAAAGATCCTGTGGTCTTACTTTTGAATAATATTTGCTTTTAATTTGTTGGTGATCTTAGGCTTGAGGTTTGCCATACTCTTTCCCTTTCATGCATGGGTAAAAATATATAGTGGTGTTATAAAAAAAAAAAAATTACAGCGGTAGGTGAAATGATCACTAGAACAGTAGAACTATCTAATGCTCTGAATCCCCATTTCATAAATAACTTAAACTTCATATATTCTTAAACTTGTTTTCCTTGCTTCAGACTTGTTAAAAATGTACAAATCTATACCAGTGGTAAAGGGAAACTTTTTACGATGGAAGGTAGCTTCATTTTATAACAATTTGTTCTCTTGGGGTTGATAATGTAAGATGTGGGTGATTGAAATTCAACTTCATTCAATGGTCTTTGAATTATACTGTCCTTACTTTTCAGGATCATCTGGCATTGATGATGGAACTTCTAGGAACAATGCCTCGCAAGGTAGGAATTTTTATGTGTCTTGCTTAAAATGTCAGGGTTATTTTCTTAATTGGTGATCATCTTCAAGAAACGATGCGGTAGTTTACAGCAAATAAGTTTCATTATCGTCAATACTTCAACTGTTGCTCATCTGCAAAAAACTGAACTAATATTTACTTTAGATTGCTTTAGGTGGTCGCTATTCTCGGGAGTTTTTTAATAGATATGGTGATTTAAGGCACATCCGTCGGTTGCGTTTCTGGCCTCTTAATAAGTTGCTGGTGGAGAAGTATGAATTTAGTGAGCAAGATGCATATGAAATGGCTGACTTCCTTGTTCCCATACTTGATTTTGCCCCTGAAAAGAGGCCAACAGTGCTCAGTGCCTTAATCATCCGTGGATCTCTTCAGGTCCTCGGACTCTTGAGCCCTCAGTGACTACCATCCAGTTTGAGGCCACAGACAAGGTAACATCTGAAAAGATGGAGGAAAAGGCTGAGCTGGAGGCAGTTGAAGTTGGTGTCAGGAATATAACCATTGATGGGACTCCCAAGGCACCGAAAGATTCAGATCTAGCGGAATAGATGCGAAGTAGTTCATATGTGTGCACAACCATCACTACTCCTTTGGCGCACTATATTGTGGGGGTTGAGATTCTCTAAATTTTTCAAAGTTTACTGTGTAAATTTAGTCAAAATATAACAGGCTTAATTTAATCAGCAAACCTAACTTATTTCAAAAATGTGAGTCACGTTAATTATCTCGTTACTTCAAATACACAAAATATTTCAGAGAAACTTAGATGGTCTCCATCCTTGAATGTGGGAGGGTTATATTTGACTTTACATTTACATGAAATAGTCGTGTGAGGAGGGTGCCCATTTTGGTAGGCTCGTCATTGTGAGGACAACACTTTCTACTACAACGGACTTGTTCTGTGATCGCAGGTTGTCTAACGGCTTCCTAGTTCCTTCACGTTCAATAGATCTGGTGCAGTATGTTTTACAATTTTCAGAGAGGTGAGTTTGGAATGCCTCTACAGATTATTCTTAGAATTTTATCTTCTACGAATGCTGTTTTTGAAGGTTTTGTGTTGCACTTGAAACTAATTATTGTTAAATATGAAAACGCTGCGAATTTTTTGGTCCAGTTAACGGTGGGAGAAAAAAACTTATCTTCCAGATCAAGCTGTTTAGTCGTGCCACCTTCGTTAATCACCTCTTAGCAGGCTGTGCAGTATCTTTATAGACATGTTTCTGCCCACTGTGTGGAACCTAGACCGAAGGTATGAGGTTTTGTTACTGCTACGAGGAAAATGCTTCGTTGTGTCTTCTGTTGCCCCAAGTTGCATCTTACTTTTCGTAATGCGCGCACAAGCCGTTTAATTCCAAAAAAAAATGATAGTACGAGATTGTAATGTCAGAACTTTACGCAACATTAGGCTCATGCCTTCAGGGTTCATCGACTACTGAGATAGAGCATGGACAAGTGTCAAATGTCTAGGTAATTTTGGGGAACTTCTGGAGTGCTATATACTGATTTGATGTACGGGCACATGATGTACTTGGGCACTTGTAAGTATTTATTTTATCCTTAATATAAAACATGCTATGAAAAATTAATTATGTTTTCTCAATATTATCTTTGTTTAAACTCATTGATTATAAGAGAATGTAATTTACATTTAAAAATTTTTCATTTAAATAGAAATAAAATTAAACATTTATTTTTTTTAAACAAAATTTAATAAATTAACTACTTTTAATTGGTTCCGGTGAAGTAATTGGCAATATCTTATAATAGGGATTAGAGTAAGTATACAAGCTTTCCAATAGTGTTCTTTATGACTGATTTATTCAATTCATTAATTGATCACCAATGTTACAGCCATTGTGAGCTCCACGAACAAATAATTGGTAAATACTGCTTGCTTGAAAACACAGCCTAGGTTCAACCAACAAAGAAAACACAGCATACGAGCGGTGTGAATCCTATCACAAGCTTTCATAACCATCTTGAATAACCGCTTACGTCGCGTGCTGAGTTGTGTTTCGATGTCACCTACAAAATGAATTGAATGCCCTTCAGATACGGAGGTGCTTAAACTTGAATTATTTTAGTAAGATGACTTAAATTTTGAAGATTTGACAAATTAGAAAATTGTGTGAAAATATATCTTTAAATCCCTACATTTTACTCGCATTTTGTTGCTTTTAATCTCTGTATTTTTTTTTTTTATGTTCTAAATCCTTACACTTTTATTTTTTATTATTTAAAAAAAGCAAGCAAAGTGCATGAGTCAAAAGTTATTTTTTTTTCCAAATTCATATATCAATATTTATATGTCTATTTATGTTATAAAACCTCTAGGAAACTGCACTGTTCATTAATGCTAATTAGTACAGCTCACTTTCAGATAATGTGTAAGAGATAAGCCTATGGTTTAATTACTTATCCTTATAGGTTTTCCAAGTCAGATACTAAATAAATAAGAGAAGAAAGAGAAGTTTTTTTTGGAGAGTTATAGCCTAGGAAATAAGCAGGAAAATACCTGCTAAACATTGGTACCTAAGCTTGAAGTTTCTTCCCGTCAGAGTATTTTCCTTGCCTTGAGATAGTAATACATAAGGAAAAATGTAATGACCGCGCCAACAATAATCCCAGCTGTTGTCAGCCAAAATGCAAACTGCAACAAACCCGAAAATGTGGTAATTTCAACGAACATTAAGTTTGAACACTTCCCAAGAAAAACAAAGCAAATCATGCATGTAATAAGGCAGCAAACAATATCTCACCACATGTTCTTCAAGATATGATTTCAGGTTCATGCCAAATATACCTAAAATCAGTAAAGTTAATCACAAAGTCAGGCAAAGTTTCATATTGCTTTCTCAGCCAATAAAACAGTTATACGCATTTGAATTGTATATTCATATCTTATCAACTACGTATGAAATCTCGAAATTGAGACGGCTCCAAGATTTTCCTTCGCAACAAAATCAATTCAAATCATATTGAGGAATGAGTAGCTTCTATCCATGTTTACAAGACATTAAATGCAAGACATAAGAATTTGAGGAGCCCCCTTTCTCACTGGTTGTCAGAAGTTTAATGACCAGCCCATAAATTATTTGCATATAATGCTTGGCAGGCTTTGTTTCTTTCCGCAAAAATGAGCCTCTTAAAAGAAAAAACAGAGATGCTAGAAATAATATTTAGAAAAGCCAGAAAATTAGTCATTCACTTCAATGAACCTCTGCTTCTCTACATCTTAGGAATCGCAGAGAACACCTAAAGTTTCACCAGTAACTTGTGTCCTCTGTTAAGGCTAAAGCTTGTCTTAGTTTCAGCTTCTAACATCTAGAAGTCCTTTACAGTACAGCACATCAAAGTAACACCGTTGTGTTAAGATTATGAGAGTCGCAGCTTATTATTGCATGTAACTTGGTGGTCAAACGAGGCCCTAAGTTCATAAATAACGGAAACGGCTGCTGATAAAAGAAATGATAAAACGGCTATACCTGCAACTAGGGCACCGACTGCCACACAGAATGTCCCAACCTGAAGAAGCAGTTCCACTCTGCTAACCTCAAGCCTCCGTGAGCTGACAAATGAGGACAATTTATTAAAACGAACCAGATTAAAATGTGTTGTTGACGTTAAGAAACAAAATCTCTTGATATTTGATCTAGCAGCTAAGCTAAACCATGGCATCTGTTGAATGCATGAGCTCAGGAGACCTTGTGTTCCATCATTTCACTAAGTAAACAGTGTTCAATAATAATTTTAAAATTTACAAAGTCAGCAGACAAGATTTCATGCATTCTTACTCGGATTACTTCTAATGCACTCTAAGATCCAGATTGATCTTTGGGCTAATTTGCAACCCTTGTCACTATGTTGTACCATGTGTTGATTTCAACATCAATACCGATTTTGTATGGTTCAATACCTACTCCAGATCTCCAGGGTTGATCTCAGATCCCATTCTATTGCATCCGAAGTTACTCAACCCAAATCACAAACTAAGGCACACAAACACAGTCTTATTCCTAGCATAACATTACCTTCAGAAGAACAATAAAATTTCCACTATCAATTTGTTTTTTTATTTGTGAATATCATGTTGAAATATGAATACTTCTCTTCCTGCTGTAAGTAATCAAACTCCAGTTGGAACAATTAAGCAATCCTCCAGATGAGGGGAAGATGGTTCAGGCAGCAAGACTTTGCTTGATTTTAGCTATCAAGACCGCATGTTATCAAAGCTTACCTCGCAAGAAACAGCTGATACAGCAGATGCAGCAATATGCTGTCATCTACAACAAGCTGATACAGCAAGCTTATCTCACAAGAACAATCAGGTAGAAAACTACTGCTACACATGCCCCCCCCCCCAACACACACACACACACAAAGATTCAAACCTCAAATTTACAGCTATAGAATCTTCCATTTCCCTCGCAGAATCCAGAAGCCTTTCAGCTTGACCATGACAAGATTCACATCTGCGATGTAACAAGGCAAAGAAGTCAATTTTGTGACAGAAATCATTGTTTGAGAATTAGAGATTAAATTAGAAAGGAAATGGAGCATTCATTAAAATAACTACCAATTAAAATAAAGCTTCCGAAAAAGCCAACTATAGCTGCCACAAGAGAGATCTAGTAATTTCAAAATCCAGTCCTCTGTAGACCGTCAGATAAATCATTAATTTTCCACAAAAAGCATTAGTTGACAGCCACTTATTAAGATTATGAAGATAGAGAAAGGTGGAATCAAATGGACTGGATATGCCTGATATTATACCTCTGGCCTGTGTACCTACGCTTTATTAGTTGAAACAAACTGCCAATAGTTTTAGACAGAATAATTAACTCATCGTATATTTTGTTGCAACATCTTGGTGCTAGAAAATAAAGGTGCCACCAAACCTTGTGTTATAGCTCAGGAATTACTGTCTAATATCATACTCGTATCTAAGTAAGACTGGCTACAAGTCTCCCTGGTTGCATTTGGATTGTGATGTTTCAAATGCTAGAAATTTGAATTTGTGCAATTCAAATTCCTATTATAAATTACTTATTTTGATAATCACAGATATAGAATTCCTTGTGTGAGATTATAAGTACATACACACATGAATCATGAATGTATATATTTGATGTGTGTCTGCACGCGCAAGCCCACACCTATATAAGTTCACGTATTTGCATTACAGCCGTCTGTATACTTTAAACTTCTTATGTTTCAGCTCATGATGTTAGGAAAGCTCAAAAAAAGATCTCAATGATCAAGATATTGAAATCATATACCCTGTTATTGATCATTGATGTTTATGCAGTAAATGTATCAGTCAGTCATCCAATGTAATTATTAGTAGTAATAGAAATTAAAATATAAATAAAAACAAATGAATTTTTATTTTATTATGTTCCCAATGATTCCTTCTCAACCATAAGGAAGGTCATGGGGGCATGAAACAAAGGCGTATGGTGAGTTACCAATATCAATATTAATCCTCAGATTTGACCACAAAAGAAATCCTCAGAAAATGCATGCAAATAACTAATTCTCGAACTAGGATTAAGATTAACCTTTGAAGATAATTTTCCAGAAGCATCTCAATTTCTTCCTCTTCTTCTGCAGATAATGAGGAAAAAAAGCAGATGAGACTATGTGACAGATCATTTCACAGTCAAGATCTTTAAAGGAAGACTTTAAGTAGCTTACCCTCAGCAATCTGTTTTTCTAAGGGCACTGAACACTCCACAACATCACTTCCTCTCTTAAGAGTGCAATTGCTTCCCATAATACATATGCGGCGTATTTCATGAGGGTCCTCCAGAAGATCAAGCAGCATTTGTCTGAGAGCTCCTGCCCTGGAACCTAATTCAACCTACCAATTTAACAGGGAACAAATATATAACCACAATGCATTTCCAGTACCACCAAACGTTGTAAATTTATTGAAAGATAACTTCCAACAACATACCAAAGTTTGTTTACTAATACGTAGTTGCTCCAATATGTCACCAGTTAATCGGTTAGGCAAGACCTCAAGAAGAGCTTGAACCTGGGGCCAAGAGGAAGTGGGATGAGGGAAAGAAAGAGAGAGAGGCACAGAGATAGAGAGAGTTGAAGAAACTTCCAAGTTCCATAGGGATATTCAATTAGAGACAGGCAAAAATATTCATCAAGAATTCAAAATGAAAAAGTAAAGTCAGATTTATAGACTATAAATATCTTGACAAGAAAGAGTTCCTGATTCAAGCATATTGTCACAACTTGTGTTCAAAAAGAGAACCCATGAGGTTACAGTGCTTTTGGAAACCCCCAAGATGATGGAGAGAATTTCAAGATGTTCAAGAAGAATCTAGAATGTTCTGAAAGGTTCTAGAAGCATATGGAACAATCTAGAAATAACTGAAGAAATCTGGAAGGTTCTAAAAACTTATGGAAGAATGTGGAGATATCCAGAATATTTTAGGATATTCTAGAATGTTCAAGAATAATCCATACATATCTTGAATATTAGTCTAAAAATATCTTTGTGAATATCTATATATTTCTTGCAGATATTTTTATAGAATGTCCTGGACAATGAATGTATGCCATATCCACTGTCCATTAAGGAGTAGGAAAAATCTAGATCAAGGGAGAAGTCTATAAATACCCCTCACCTTTCATTTGCAATCAACAAGCAAAGTAAGTAAATCAATAAACCTCTCAAGTTCTCTCATCTAAGCTCTCTTCTCTCTCGTGTTCAAGTTTCTTGTTCCTTTGCCTACATTCTGAGGATTCGGCTGACTTAGCCAGGATTAGAGGTTGATCACGCTAAAGCCAGCACGGTTCAAAAATAGGAAGTTCCAGGGCCGTGACAATATCCTATCCTGAAAGAATATTGTTAAAAGCCAAGAAATCCACTGAAGATGATGCTTTGAAGATCTAATGAAATGAAGTATAAAGACAATAGATGAAAGATATCACACTAAAAGTAGTGAAGCAGATGAAATCCCGTGACTTTTAGTTCATAGGCAGGTCCAGGAAAAACTATTTGTCCAAGTCACAAAAATCAAATAAAATGAAATTTAACTGTTTGAGATCATGCACGCACGCGCTTGCAAAGAATCAGCACAAATATATTCAGTTACTCACTGTGTTCATATACTCACACGAGGTTCTAAGTCCATCAATCTCTGCTCTAACCGCTGTGTTCTTGATAGCAATGCTGCTTCAACAACCTGAAAGTTTGACCGTGTGGCCATGAGAAAAAACAGTTCACAACCATATCTCTATGATGAAAGGACAAACGGATGAGTCAAGTATAACAAAAAAAAAACAAACAACAAAAACAACAACAACAACAAGCCTTATCCCACTAGGTGGGGTCGGCCATATGGATTGCAAGACGCCATGTGCTCTATCATTTATTAAGCTTTTAGAAATATTATTAATTAAGAGATCACGTTCAACAACTTCCAAGAGTATTCTCTTAGGCCTTCCTCTACCTCTCTTAATCGCACTCAAAGTTATATGTTCCACTCTTTCACTGGTGCCTCCCTTGGTCTTCTTTGTCCATCCCAAACCATCTCAACCGATTTTCTACCATTTTTTCCTCAATAGGGCCACCCTCACTTTTTCACGTATGTGCTCATTTCGAATTTATCTTTACGTGTATGTCCGCACATCCATCGTAACATCTATCTCTGCTACTCCAACTTTATGCTCTTGCTGTCTCGTTAGAGCCCAGCATTCACTACTATATAACATTGCCGGTCTAATAGCAGTACGATAAAACTTTCCTTTAAGTTTATTAGGCACCTTACGTCACAAATAACTCCTTTAGCTTTCTCCAATTAAACACCCAACTTGAATTCTATGTGAAATATCTCCACTGATTTCGCCATCATTTTGAATAATGGCTCCCAAATATCTAAACTTTCCACTTGAGGTATAATTTGATCTCCAATTTCACTTCCAAATTATTTTCGAATAGAGCAAATGGTCTATGATTAAGGTTTCCCATCCTTCCTAAGTACTAGTAATCTGATATTACTTTTGCAGCCAAACTGCTGGAACAAAGTGTAAGAAAAAAAGACTACTTGTCTTGTCAAAATACCACGCCTGTTCTAACATAGTTGATAAATGGTGGTTGTGCAAGTTTGCAAGCTACAATTACTTGCATTGAGTGGAAATCGAACTCAAATATATCACTAGTGCAATAGAGTTCATCAAAGTAAGTTTTGTGTTTCATCAAGTCAAACATGTGATGCGTATTTTGGACTAACCTCAAGCTCAAATGGCATCGATGGCCCACCATTGCTGTTCTTAGGGTTCAACCGAGGCAGCAATGTCTCAAGAAAAGCTTTCCCACCTTTACTGATTGATATGAAAAGATGCAGAACGATATGCTTAGTTCATGGTAAAAGAAATAAGACAGAAGCAGCAGTAACTGTACCGATCAAAAATGCTTGCATTGCTATTGCTCGTAATTTAGAAGAATAGCTTTGATACATGAAGCAGAAATTGCAAAAATCACAAAATTATACAGAAGACAGTAGAGAGCATAAAGAAAATACTCAAGGAAGTAATAAACTTTCAAGAACAAAAAATTGTTGACATTATAAATTGGTGGAAGAAACATATAAATGACCACATACCATTTCATTTTTACGAGTTGCAAAACTTTTGACTGAGTTTTGACTAATAAATAATAATGTAATATCAGGGAACGGGTTGAGAAAATCTTTTCTATCGGCCTTCATAGTAAGTTCTAAGTGATATATAAACATTGCCACTCTCCACCACTACTAGTTTTAGAACGGAATCCTTACCTTCCATTTTACTTATTTATATGCTTGATTGTGCTTAGAAACTCCTACATGGCATGAGTGCGAACTAAAGTAAGAGAACAAAGTTCGAATGTTTGAACTCCTTTTTCACTTAATGCAATGCAACATACATATGCCAGGACAAATTATTTGAATTATAGACTTAAAACAGGAAGGGAGCACCGTGGACATTTTCATGAAAGTAATAAGGAAAATATAACTTTGGATCCCTGCACTTTGCTTGCGTTTTGCTATAGATCCTTATATTTTGTTCGGTGTTCTAGTCCTTACACTTTTGTTCTAATTAAAACACCAAACTAAAAAAAAATATAGAGATCTATAGCAAAACGCGAGCAAAGTGCAGGACTCAAAGTTATGTTTTTTCAACGTAATAAACAATAGCATGCATCTTCTATTCATAAGAAATTTGGAATAAATATAGTAATAAGTAAGTATAATGAGTTTCTAGTTATTGCACAAGACCGAGCTCATACTATCATCAGACTCCATGGAACTTAAAACTCCAACCGAACGAAAATAGTCAACTAAGAAATGCAACATTTCACCAGGAGATGGTGAAATATTATAAAAGAAATTATACCAGCAGCGAAGGCATAGAATTTGTCAAAAACAATGATGGATCCACACTTCGAATGTCTCTTGGACGAAGACCTGATAAATGATAATATATAGCATATAAGACAATATAGCATAAATAAGACCAAATTATGGAGGTCTACCGAATTCTATAGCCGTGAAGGGAGGCTATCATGGGACACGACCGAAAGAAAAGTAGAAAGGACATGAGGTAGGGTGCAATGGACCATCAAATAGCAATGTTTAGGCGACGTGAACTACGGAAAACACCTCAATATAAGCAGAACATTGAACATGATTGATAACTAGCTGCATGGGATATTTTCAAGTTCAGTCGTGAAAATTTAGTTACCGCTCATTTTTAATAGTTGCCTCCTGTTGATTTTTTTGGTTGATAGTGCTCCGTTTGACTTTACTTCTACAACCTTGAAAATAAAAATATAATAATACAAGAGATAATGAATAAACAACAATCATACGGTAAAATGAACACCATGAATGAAATGGTGGGAAGAGGTAACAAAACCAAACCTCATAAACTGGTTCCCGAATTCCCAAGGAGACAGAATCACCAAACGCGGTGGTCGCAGTTCTACGGGATTGGGAGTCAACCCGACCATTAGTACTAACAGAAATCTGGCTGCTAGTCTCATTCTCCTCCTCTCTGCTCCCAGTATCGGAATCTGAAACGATAGTTTCCGCTTCAGTCCACTGCTTATCCTCCGTGGATTTGCTGAAGCATCCGAGGGAAGGCGTCAAAGTCTTGGCTGTCAACGTAGCCGTGGACAGCAAGGAGATGTTTCTCCGGTGTACTAGAGTCGAAGAAATCGGCCATAGCGTTTCAGCAGAGCGAGATTCGGTGAGATCGGAGAGGATAACGCAGTTGGTGCTAGACCGAAAAAGTATATGGTTGGGCCAAGCTAAAGCCATATTCTAGTATGGCTATGGTTGTGGTTGTCATGAATGTGTACGTTCGTAGCAGCAAATTCCGAATGAGAAGGAAGCTTGGAGGCTGGAGGCGTGGTTGCCTCGCTCTGTAACGATCAAAACTACAAAACAAAATTGTTTATTCTGGATAATATGGCATAATATCATTAATTAATTCATCCCGTGCAATTTAAAACATATATATTTGTGAAAATATGTGTGGCTGAAATTTGACTCCTAGCAAGAATGCGCCTCGCGCGTGTGCTTCTGTTCTGTGTTCGTGTTGTTTTCATAGCATACCTAATACTATTTAATTTTAAAATGGGTACATTTATTACATTTGATGACCAATTTTGTGAAGAATTATATACTGCAAGCTAGATAATGAGACCCATAGATTGCATGGTCTCATATAATAATCTCTCCACAGTTTGCTTTTAACTAGTACAAGTGACTATTATTAATTATTAAATACATCAATATTAAATAATATCTATGCCTGAGCATTGCCATGAGTATTCAATTGTAAAATTGTTTCACGATTTGTTATAAATATTATTTGTTATTACACACAAACCTTCCAGGAAAAGTTCAAACTTCTCGTTGCCCGGTTTATATATATATATATATTTTGTCAAAAGAAGTTGCCCGGTTAATATTAATATCTAATACAGATGAGGGGGGTAATGTTGAAGATAAATGCGCCTTCTCTGGCTTTTGGATTTGCTGGCTCCCGATATTTTCGGTGCATTCTTTGTTTAATTATCGTTACTTTACCTGCTTTTAGACACTACTGATGTCTAAACTTTCTTGTTGAGTGACAGACACCTCACAGAAGGGCCATTATACCCCGTACCATACATTGGAACAGGGCAAATCTTTTTTCTTTCTTTTCTTGGTCTGCAACACAGAAATAACTATTTTAAAGAGGTTCAAGCATCTTAAGCATTCAGGGAAATCTGAAAGGAGAGAAGATGTATTCCCACAGCTCCATTCTGTCAGAAATATTCTTAATAGATAAAACCATAATAGAGCGTAGTATAACTTAAAATTTCATATTCCAGTTGATCTGGAATCAACGAAGCTAAATGGAAGTCTTTCCTAGGAGAATCATTGAAGAAATTATTGATTGGTTTCACAAATGCGCAAAATTCAGAAAACGGTGGTAGTTATCATTAATAAGGACAACCACAGTCTCATATAAACAACACTATTAAAGCAGCTTTGTCTTGAGAGAATTTTCCATGAGACGGCAAGTTTCGGGACGTCAGATGGCAACCTCAATTACTGCTTCTCTTCAATTGTATATGGTATATCGAAATTATGTAAATTCTTCAATAAGAGGCTGATAGAACAGTTTGTATGCCTCCAAAACTTCAAGATACCACATTGCCTCTCGGTCCGGGAATGATGAAAGGTCGACCATCTTATGAACCTGCAATTACATCATAGCCAATTTCACTTCCAGTAGGAATACCCAAAAAAAAAAAAAAAAAAACATCTTCCAATAGATAATTTTCTTTCACATTCAAGAAAAAAGTTCCCACAAAGGATGCATGCCATACCAACGAATGAGTCCAAATGTGAAACGAGTTTGAAGACTTGGGTTCATCATTGGGAAAAAATTTATTATGATGGCCACTGTGAAAGCCTTTTAACAAAGGAGATTAATTAAAATTAAAATTCAGTTTGGAAAATTGTGTTCTTTGCCAAAATTTCCAGAAAATAGCCGTATTCAAATACCATGTAGAAATAGCCTCCAAGTCGAGGCTGATAGACACCTCCTCGGTAAAGAACAAGCAACTGGTATGAGATACCCATTTTCTTTGCCTATAGATGGGGGAAAAAAATAGTTCACTAATTGTTCTCCCCGCTCCCAGGTAGAGAAGTGAAATGGGCCAAAATATATTACATGTCTAGATCTTGAAACCTCACCGATAGAATAAGACATTTAATTCAGTCCATCACCATAGAATAAGACATTTGATTCAGTCCATCACTGAACAAAAGGTTAGGTTTTAACAAAAATTTGAACACCATACAATACGGTTTGGTTTTTCATCCAGGGATAATTTGCTCCTGACAGTGGAAGAGTGCAAAAACTGTGTTGAGAAAAAATAGTGAAGTACCTTAACCATGGGAGGCTCACCGGTCCGAGCAACGTATCCTCCAACTACCATTACATACATCCCTAGCAAAAACAAAGACAGATTTCAAAGCGTAAGAGTCGATTGGATGCAGTAAGCTGAAAAGTTAATAAAATAGCACAATGAATAATATAATGCGGTGATAAAAGACCGGATACCCAAAAGGCTGAAATGCCAACATGTGCAAGGGTTCAACAATTAGAAGATAACCTTACCAACTCTCCATGGCCGGAGACGAAAATCACCGGAGAGGGAGAGCTCGATGACACCGGTACCATCGTCTAAAAGAAATGGGCCGGCGTCACCGTTGGGGGCCAGCACCAAAACGCCCTGCGACGGGCATGGGAGGTGGTTATGAATAAGTTGAAAAATAGGAGCGTTCTGGGAATAAAAGAGGAGAGAATAGGGTAATTTGAAAAAAGAAACCTGCAACCAAGCGCGTTGGAAGAGGATGCCGCCGAGGGTGAAGCCGTTCCGGGAAGAGACTTCTCTGGCGCTATCCAGCTGTGCGCATAGCAACTTCAACGCTGCTAGACTGTAATCCATCTCAACCCCTCTCCGTTTGACTTTACTTCTACAAAACAAATCGCCGCCGTCTTCCCCCTTTCTATCAGCCGCTCATCGTTTTTGCTCTCCCCAACGACGATGAGTTTGAAACTTTGAATAGCAAGAAGCCAACCCTCGCCGGCGGGAATACGAGAAAGGAAAACCGTTTTACATTTCGAATAATATTCAATTATTCATACTTTAATATTATTTATTTATTAGTAGTTAGAATTTGCGGGTGATTAATTTTCTTACTCAGAACCTATATATAATTCTCCAATACCACTATTTTAAAAGACGCTTCCAAGACTTCTAAGATTCTTGCATTGAACATTAGAGGAATTGCTTGGGTTGAAAAACCTTAATCTCAATTTTGCCGATACTTACTTCGATGATCAATGAATTAATCTCGGTCATATCGGAATCATTAACTCCAAATCAGGAGATAGTACCAAAGAAAGATATTGAGTTCTGTATTTTTGGCACAAGAACTTGCTATCTCTATTACTTATCGGTCACATTAATTCACTGATTACAAACTCTGGAAATACAAAGCATACCATATTTGATCAACCAAAAGGAGAAACTTTACACGAGAAGAAATCTTATACGAGCATACAACACGATCATTGGTCTTATTCAATTACACAAACCTGAGAACCCACACTGAACTTTCCCGTTCAACAAATTAAACCTCCTTCCGTATGAATCCCAAACTCTCACAGTACCATAATCAAGTACAAGCAGAACATAAGCCCGAAAGTGATTGAAATTATGAGATGAGAGAGATGCCTGCAGTGAGTAAATTATCTGCCAAGACCTTGTTTGCAGCTTCTGAAGGATGAAAACTATCCCAGAATACATACTCAGACGCATTGGCACATGTCCCTATGGACTTGCGATTGCACAGTATAGAGGTCTCCAGCAAGCCCGTTCCACAGCAAGCCTTCCTTGCTTCAAAGAAACCTATTATATGTCATATGCCACACGGAGGAAACTCATCAACAATCATATTATACCTGTAAAATATTGATATTCAAACAAAATGAGCATCCCAGACACATATGTTGATCTTTTTACCATTTTCTGAAGGCTTAGAGACAAGCTGATAGAGAGGCTGGTAGATATCAAGGACGACCAAATTGAGGTTTGGAAGCTGCTTCTGTAAGCTCTGAGAAGTGGTGTTTAGCTTTTTATTGAAGTTGATAGCATCATTGTTGATCCTTTCCACGCATTGGTTGCTACCAAAACCAAACAGGGTGATGGCTGCTGGTAGGCAGCCCATAGGAGGTAATGTGGTCACCCCAATCTTCCTTGCGCCCAGTGCATACAAGTTCTGTCAACACATGGTTGAAAATAAGGTTAAAGTGCAAGCCTTGTTCTCAAGATAAAGCTTTACTGGGAAGACTCGTGTTTTAGATCCACATGTTACCAAGGAAGGGAAGTCAAGGGTGAGAAAGACGTGCCTGAACAAAACTGGAATAGGCTTGCAAGAGTATGTCTGAGTACTGATCAGCAGTATAAACCTTATAAAGCAGAGGATTTATGTAATAATTCTGAAGGAAGTCGCTGTTCCCTGAACTTATAAGATGTATAGCCCCCGATATGATTGATGAAGCATTTGATTGTCCTGCTACTTCCACCAATATGTTCTGGCATTCTTTGTAGTTTTCCAGCTGCTGACTCAAAGGAATTGCATGCTACAACCAAAATCAAAACAAAACCAAACAAAAAAACCTTAAGTATCTAAGAAGCCACCATTAAAATGAGAAGCAAACAAAGAAAAAAACAGGGTTTTGAGTTGTGTGATTGTGGCTACATATAATTTGGCCGTAGGTTCATAGTAACCAGATGCACCCGACGCAAAGTTGGCACCATTCAAGAGGTTTTTCCCTTTGGCCTTCAAGTTTTGATAAGCTGGCGGGTAAGAGGTGAACCCAAGGTTTTCAGCTGCATAACATTAACACAAGATAGATTAAACCCTAGTTAAAAGAATGCAAAAGATAACATGAATATTAATAAAGTAAAATGCACATATGCTCTCCTTTAAACTCAAATCCACAGTAAATATGTTTCTTAACTCCTTGAAACCAAAATATATTCCTCAAACTGTAATAACTCTTCAGAACTTAGATCCTTTTATCTCATTTCTGCTAATATGATCAACTAATATGACACTTCACCATTCTCCAGTAAATTAAAGCTGGAAGAAACGTTCAAGGCGTGTAACTCGAAAGTTACAGACCAAAGAAAACGAGCTGCATGACAGCTGGAAGAGCCTAAAATGACATTGGGGTCATCGGTTCTGGCAAAGACACTTGAAAAAAGGATCTGAATCTTAAAAATAACCTAAACTGAAGAAAGATTATTATATTTTCTTTCCAGAATAATGATAAAGGAAAAAAATATTACCAGTGAAGTCAGAGGCGAGTTTTCCATTGCAAAACCTCCCGGTTGGCGCGTGATTGGTGAAGTCCCTTCCATAAGGAGGGAAGTTTGCCTTAACAATGGTGTGTAGGTTATTATTATTGCCAGCATCAACCACAGAGTCTCCAAATATGAACAATGCAGGAACCAGAGGCTGCCCATTAGTCACACTTAGCACTGCAATTAGAAGAAAGGAAGTCAAGAAAGAACTTGAACACCCCATTCTTTGAATTCCTGTTCAGCAAAGAGCCTTCTTTTTCCAATAGAGAAAGAGAGGAAGTCTAAAGATGGGTTTGTGAAGGCTGTGATTCCGAGAAATTTATAAATGCAGCAACACTATTTACTCTCAGTCTCAGAATCATGTCAACGTCAAAGACACTAATTATTCTTCTTCTTCTTTTGGGAATACGGAGAAGCAAGTGAAAGCAATTGCGTAACTAAAATTGACAAGTCTATGGTGGTGGTGAAGTTTGAGGTCTCAGTAGCCTCCAAACAAGCACATGCACACTATTCCGCTTGATTCCTTGAAGCTTTTTACTTAATGTTGCTCACTGCATTGTGCTAGAGGATCACCCTTCTCCTGCCAACAATATAATATTGAGCTCAAATAACATCCATCTCCAATGAAATCTTTGAGCATTTCTTATATTAAACGAGACCACAGTAAAATATATTTGACATGTTATGAAATGCTACTTTTTTGTTATAAGAAAAGAAATACTTTTTCTAAAACTTCTTGGTACGTGCGAATGAATTTTTATTTATACGTATTTATATATAATTTAGAAAGAGAATCATATCATTGAATGGTTCTGTGTCAACTTTTTTTTTTAAATTTCTTTCTGTTGATTCTTAGACTTAGTTATAATGTGCTTTTTTAAAAAAGTAAAATGTTTATTTTAAAAAATGTTTCGATATGCAAAATAAAAGGATTTAAGAAATTGATTACAAAACTTTACTAGTTTTAATTTTAAGTACAATTATAATTGAAAGTTTAATAACATAATAATAAATAATAAATATTTCATTTGTTGCTTGGAGAAACATAAATTTATTTGCTTCAATACAGTCATAAAGGCCATTATTAAAAAAAATGCGGTAAAAAAATTATAATAAAAAAATAAAAGGTACTAATATGAGATGATTTATTGCCCATGTGGGGCAAGAGCGGGATACTAACATGAGATGATTTATTGCAACACTTATGAATAGTGGTGTTACTGTGCCACTTATTATGATTCGTTTGGTATTACATATAACTAGATTTATTTCCATGCGATACATGGAATAATAATTTTTTAAAAATTTACTTCTTCCTATTTTATATATAAACCACTTTTAACCATTTCATCCGTCTTTATATACAAGTTATTTTTTAAAAATTATTTTATTTTTAAATATAAGAGGTATCATAATAATTTTGAATAATCTTGCCTTATATTTTGAAAAGAAGAAAGGGATATTAATTGTGGGTTTCACCCACTTTCATAATATTAATTGTGATATTATCAGGGATAAAATAAAAAATTATTATAATTTTATGTGTTTTCAGTAAGTACCAAAATTTTATTAATATGTGTTATTTAATTAAAAACATTTTATATAGTAAGACAAAGAGATGGAGTACCTCACTATTATTAAGGAGAAATCGTTAAATTAGTAATTTTGTCAGAAAAAGAAAAAAAAAATCAAGTTATCTTTATTAAATTCATTATATTTAAAAGATAATTTTTCTTTTATATGTAACTTTTCCCTTGTTTATAAAAAAATATTAAAGGGTATAATTAAAAAAATATTTAATGATTTATTTTTCATGTGAAAAAAATTATCAAATAGATCATTAATTACTTATAGAATGTGATTAGTGTATAAGATCATAATAGTATTATTTATCAATTACATGTATTGCATGACCGGAAAAAACAACAATTAAATTAAGAGAAGTTCAAGAAGTGTACAGAAAAAGTAAGGTTTATTTTAAAAGTTATTATTCTATGCTTCCAAAGAGGTGCCTTCAATTGCCAATTGGATTAGTTTGGATCAAATACCTGAAACACTGAAGTATATGCGAGAAAATGAAATTTTATTTAATGAGTTAAAATGTAAAATTTATGTCTACCTATTAGAAATTAAAATTTAAATAATACATGTTCTTATTTTAACTTTTTTTTTATCTATGCACATATTAAAAACTTAAATAACATAGCCCATAAATATTAAAAAATTATATATAATTTTTTTACTTTATGTATGTTAAAATTATAGAGAATAATTTATCATTCTAAGATGTGCTATTCACTCATAAATTAAAATTTAAATAATGAAAAATTTTATCTTATAAATTGTTATTTAAATTTGTATTTTATTCTATCATTTATTATCTCACACTACATATCAAAAATACAATCAATACATGATACGTCTTTTACCTATTATTTTTACTATAAACCACACACGATCCTTCAACATGAAATTTTTTAAAAAAATATAAGCTAATGTTCATCCCATATAAATTTACTTTATTTTATAATTTATTATCTTGTATATTTTAAAAATAAAATTAAAAAAATATTTTAAGTAGAATTTGTTATTCCATCTGAGTTAGAATTTAAAACAATAAAAATTATCTATTAATTATACACTCGTTTTTTTATAATTTATATAAATTAAGTTTGTGATTTCATTGTAATAAAACATTTTATTTTATAATTTATAATTTATAATCATAATATAATTAATTATCTTTTATATATATATATATATAAAATACAAGCAACAATTGATGAGTAAATCTCCTGCCTCTACAAAAACATTAAGTCTTATACTATTTTTATTATGAGTCTCGTATTCATAAATATTTTTTTATCATTGGTTCCGTACATATTTTTTGTTATAAGTCCCACAAAGATTTTTTTTTCAAAAATAAAATCATGATCACTGTTCATCTAACATAACGCACATTACATAGATATAGATATCTATATATAGATATATATTATAATGGAATGAGAATGAAAAATAATTAACAGTTACTATATCATTGCGAGGCATTTATCGATATCACATGTTAATTGGTTTAAACAAAAAAAATCACATGGCGAGGATAGATCACGAATTTATCATGCTTTCATGCCTCGTCCAGCAGTGAATAGTACCCAAATGTCACGAAAAGGATAAAATTTATTTTAAAATAATATTTTATACTGAATATAAATATTTAATCCTTAAAAAAATTTAACTTTTCACCTAACTTTATTATTTAAAAAAAATGAAATGGCTAATAGTAATAAAGGGGGTTGGTTACTGTGACTGAATAGTACTAGCAGGAATGAACAAGGGGCACCAATAAAATTAAAATACTAGTAAAGAACAAGTATTTGGTATGGAGTTGATGCCAGATGTTATGAGCTGTCCTAAATCCAAACTTGTGCTTCCACAAGCCAACATTGCATAACTCAAGACTTTTTGACAAATCCGCGTCGGAACGAGAAACAATTGAAAAGGGGGCGGAAAATAAAAATTTTGAGGGCGGCAGAGTTAGCATTTCGTTCCAAGAAATCAATGAAAGAAGACGTCACGGAACTTGCATTTGGTTATTTTATCGATGCAGTTGCATTGCAGCTCGCTTCATCAGTATTGTGCAGTGTGCCTCATTTACTTCTATCACTCGCACTGCTCTCTTGTGGTGGACCTTTCTGGATTACTACTACAATTTTTTGTACAAAATTATTTTCTTGCCATAGACTTTCTTACGGGCAACACATTGCGTTTCTTGTTGCATTAGGCTTTTTTGTTTTTTTGGTCAAAATTAGGTTCGTTTTTTACACAAACAAATTTTTGAGTTGAAACAACCTTGCCAAACCTTTATTTTTAATTATTTTATTAGTTTATAATATCTTATTTACCTTTTTGCCATAATCTATATTTACATTTTTCTTGTATTATAAAAAGAAATACTTTTTCAAATCTAGAGACCAAACACCAAACATTCCAATATAGAACCTAATTTTCGGTGCAACACATGAAAGGAATTAAGGAAAAGTTCAAAGTCCTTGTTAAGCAATGTCTTTTTTCTTTTTATAACGACCTTAAGTTTTAAAAGAGCCAACTCTAAATCAGTTTTCATCGCTTATTGAAAGACACATAATGAAATGGATCCAAAAAAAAATATCTAGCTATACTAAAGCCTAAAAAAAATAATAATAATATCTCTTTAAAATATATAAATGATAAATTAGTCCTTTAAAATGTTATAATTTTCATGAAATCTTTAGGAACTTTTCTATTATTAATCAATTTATATAAATTATTAAAAATAAATAATTCACAACTTTTTATCTTATATTTGTAACAATGCAACAGTAAATAAAAAATTTAACATACAAAATTTTAATTTATTATTACATTGTTACAAATTTAAAAAAAATTATGAATATAAAAAAAAAGTTATGAATCATTTTTCAACAAAATAATTTAATAATTTATATAAATTTATTAATAACAAAAAAGTCTATAAAAGTTTTAAAAAAATTATGATATTTTAAAAAATTAAATTATTATTTATATATTTTAAAAAGATTTTATTATCACTTTTCAAAGCCTAACCCATAAATTTTTTTTATGATTTTTTTCGCACTTGTACTGTTGTACATTATTATCACGCAATGCTGTTAAAAGTGAAATTTAAATAATTAAAAGTTAAAATATGTGTCCTATTCCCTTGCCTCTTTTCCAATGCATAGTTGTTCGAAAGCTGCAAACTGCAAAACCTGGAGTCCGAATCAATTTAGTCTGAAAAATGAGATCCTAGCAAAATTCAGAGAGAGTATCCAAAAAGTAAGAAGCGACGAGCATTAAAATTGAGATCAGTACTGAACGTGTCTATTCATTCAATAAGTGCAGGTTCGTATGCAAAAGAATGAGAATGCTCTAATGACGCAAATGGGGAATTGCAATCCTATTACAATCAATACACTGATCAAATTGAATGTGCGAGAGTCAACCTATAGAAAATTAGGCAGATTAAGAAGCCTTGATTTAAAAAAAAAATAAAGAAGAAGAAGAAGAAGCAAGTGATTCTGAAAGGCATGAATCACAGAGCAGAAAAAATAAATAAGTAAGAAAACTGTTAGATTATCCATCCTTAATGAATTTAAAGTCCAATACAAGCTCAATTAGAGTGGGAACTTTATAAAAATATTAAAAAAATTTGGGCCCTTGCTCATAATAAAACTAAGGTAGAATTATAATATTCTCATGATCATTTTGAATATTGGTGGGAACGATTTTCTCTGTG